AAAACAAATTAACACGTTTTCAGATTTGTCTTGAAAAAGGTGTAGCTTGTAATTACCTCACACCACTTTGTAAAACAGAGTATTCAGAAATCCTTGTAGAATACGAAAAACGGTTCGGCATGAAGACTGGAAAATTAAGTATTGACCCAGCACACCCATATCAAAACCAATAAAATGAAAAATTTTTCATCCCGATAACCCTTTACAAAAACACAGGAAATCCTGATATCTCGCAACCCCAACATAGACTTACAATCAATAGGTTTTATTCTAGATCAGATATACAACATCACATCAAAACAAAACAATTCCGAGAACTTCTCGCTTATAAGGATACAATATAAAGACAATCAAAAGACCAAAGCTTACGAAAACTAGCTTCTCATATATTTATGCACAAGACTACAGCGGATACTTCAAAGATATAAATGATTAGATATATCTCAACGGTGAAAAATCAAGATACCACAAGACATTTCACCAATTAATGTTTTTAGTTTCGTCAATCTTCAAAATGATTTCCTAGCTTTTCTAGGATGGCCCTACTAATGATCAGAAAGATTGACTACCATACACGCCATTTTTGTTTTTTTTTTCGATTCCGCTTCACACTATTGAAAGGAGTCTATAACACATGTGCAATACATACAAAAGTAATTAAACAAGCAAGTGCAGCATGCATTTTGATTGCAGGATTTTTTGGAATTTCTTCCAACTCAATTTAAAAAAGTTTTCTTGACGCTCAAATTAGCGAATGCAAAAAGAACTATCTGCAACATCAAATGAATATGACACCCCACAAGACAATATCAATCCAACACCTACAGCACCACAAAAACTACACAGTCTACAATATAATCACCCTTTATCTTTAATCCAAGGAGCTTAATGAAACACACTAGCAATCAAGAAACATACTTCTCAAGGTAATAGCTTCCCGCGAAGTCCAGTATCTCATATAGCACTCCATCAGTCAAACACCGACAACAAGTATGAGCAAATTGTAGAACAACCACACGCAATAATTTTTCGTTCTCAAAACAACAATCTTTTTAGCACACATTGAGCCGTCAGATTGGATCCCTCAACCGTTCCTTTTCCTATCCATCCAACCTTCAACGCCAATCCTCCTCACTCTCAGACCTCACCTTTATCCAGTTTTTCTTCTAACTCACCACGCATGGATTCAGAGGACTAAACACAAACAGTTTTTCATACCATCTCTAACTTTAATAACTCAGATGTAGATACTCCCGACGAGTTCCTCGACTCAGATCCCAGCCCTTTAAAAATTTCGCAACAATCCTTCTAGCCCTTTACTCCCCAGCTTCCCCATGAAACCCCTCCCTCCCCTCTTTATATACTGATGCTACCCCTATCCTTTCCCCGATGTCAAGCGACCAACCCGATACATCTAGCCTCTGACAGGTAACCAAATTGAGCGCGAAATAGATAGATCTATAACACAAAACAACACGTTCATAACACAAATAATGCATATCAATTCACCGACTAACACACTCTGCCTCAATATGCGAATCCTCAATTCACTCAGTCAATACAGCACCGACCAGAGCACATGGAGATCTTATACCCTCAACACCCTGACACTTCACCCCAGTTCCTCATTAGCCGTCCCCGACCATCCCGACTATACGCCCTTCACCACCCGCAACACACTAACACTAAAGAAATTTTAGTTCATAACTTACCATTTTTCATCCATTATACATACTATGCGACCACTAACGAAAACCAACCGAACTTGCACGTTGATGATTATTGCCTGTTTCGCACACTCTCTTGGACTTTATACTATCATTTCATTAACCAATTGGCACTTACTTTAAACTACACCCCCGACAACAATGAACTATGTCAATCTAGTTTTCATAAACTAACAATTGCACTTCACGAAAAACAATTTACCACAATCGGACTTAAACAAACTCTCAACCGATTCATAGCACAACGCGCAACCGATTCTCAAAAAATCCTTATGATCATGCAATAACCTGATAAATAGAAGACACCCCAAACATGGACGACCCCAAGACTAACCCTCAACTAACATAAACTTTTTTATAAGATCTGAATATGTCTTTCACTCCTAGTACTAACAAAAAATTCGATAATATTATTGCTAGCGTACTAACAAACACCAAAGCATACGAATCATACTTTAACAAATTTAATCATTTTGCACTCACATTTCAGTTCGTTACATCTAATGAACACGACCTACTTTCCTTGCTTGAGATCATGTTAAGAACAAAACTAACGCCGACATACACATATTATAAGTTTATACAAGATCACTACAAAACTAACACACCAAGACGTAACTCACAACACCGATATATGTTCATTAGTTCAAATTATACTTCAGCATATTTTTTAAACTTCACTTACTGCATGAAGTCAACTTATCTCCACGGCATTCTCCGTAATTATGATCCCAATAGACAAAAGTATAGATTCTTCCCACAAACAAACTCCTTCACCATTGACGAGGCTCGTCCGCTAATTGTCCCCCAAGAATTTATACAGCCCATTGAAGTCACCATACTAGAACATATTCACATCAAAAAATTCAATCACAAACTATATAATTTAATTCAGAACACAAGCCACGAACTCTCACTAGAAACCGAAAAACTGAAGATCATCAGAAAGCTGGAGCTTCTCTGGTCTCTGCTTCAAATTCAAAACATAATCAGCATGCTTGCGAAATTTATCGTAACATCAGACACAACTCAGACTAACTTCCCCCATGGATTTTCTCTGATGAAGAGCCTTCGTAACATAATATAATTGTGAATATAGTTATTACATCTAACAAATAAAACAAAACACTCACACTCTTTATGTATTTCTCACTTTTAATTTTTATAAAAACAAAAACCAAAAAAATTCACATATTTTGTTTGTAAGCTTTTTAAACTTCTCATTAACGAAGAGAATAAATTGTTAAACGCAGTAAAATTCATCACAAAAGCAGTAACTTATTAACTCTGCAGTGAAATTTAAACAATTCAAGCAGTAAATTAATAAACTGAAAAGAAATTACAGCAAACTAACTTTTTTATGTGAGCTTCCTTTGTAAACTTTATATAGTTCCTTCACTCGCCCACAATTAGCAAACTCTTTCCACCAAACTTGCACAACTCGACCACGTATAATTGTTTAATAGATGAGTTTCAAGTTCTCAATTCTGACTAATAACAACTCTTACTTGTAGTCACGGGTTTCAAATTTTCCTTTAACCCGGCTGGAAGGATTTATAAAAGTAAGCTTGAACTAACCAACGCAGCTTACTAACACCACAAAACACAAAACCAGCAGCATGTCTAAGAAAGTCCTACGGTACCCAAACCAGATTAAACCCAGATTAAAACTGGATCAGTTATTCGTTCAAAACCAACTATTAAGTGTCAAAAATGTCAAAAAAGAAACTAAAACACAAAAATCTACTTTTGAGAAAAGGACACAACCAAAACAAAAAAGAGAAAAACTCCCGATAAAATAGAACAAAAAGTTGAACACAAAAAGTACGCTGCCCATGGAGACGATAAAATTATTTTCCCTCATTGGCCTCACTACCCAATTGGTCGTACTGAGCATGCTCTATAGCCAGCTCAACCAACTGCGCTACAGTCACGCTCATGACCCTCAATCTATCTTTGATCAGAGCTGCTCTAGGGTGAGCGACTCTTCAAAATAACTGAACGAAATAAAAACGCTTTTGCGAAAACAACTAAAAGAACATCATAACTAGAATTGATCCCACTAACAAGATATAGATCAAAAAATGCATTGTAAAAGATTTTTTAGAGCAAACGGAACGAGCAGCAAAGGAGATGAAAACTCAAAGACATTCCACCCCTAGAACGGCAAATCTATTCACTTGTTGCCGTAGTCACAACCCTCGCAGGATTTAGCCCTCGCACAACCACTCAACATCGCAGTAAAGAGAACCATTGAAAAAGACAAATGGCCAACTCGATGTTGATCTGACATACCAATCCTAGTCACTTTGCACTTCACACAAAAAGGTCAAACTTCATCTTGCACGTAGTCTTGCTCTAAGCTTAACGAAAGCGACACATCATTGCATCGGTCTTAAGTCTTGACACGATCACTGAAGACGAACCACGATCAAACGAGACTTACTTCTGAAACACGATCATAAGAAATCTCTCCATCCGTCTCTCACTACAATCAACAATTCAAAAACTAAAAACTCTCTAAACCCCGGATGGGTGGAGCCAGTTCTAAAATAGAAATTGTAACAATTTATACTATTGATAAAACTATCCCTATAAAATATTACTAACTAACCAATCATATTCCATAACAAACACTTACAATTATTTGTAGTGCTGAAACTACTTGTAGTTTCAGCACCAGAACAACTTGAATAAATCTTAGGAGACGGTTGTTCTCCTTTTGACAAGTTCCATAAATCTAACCCGCAAATATGAGTATTTAATAGATCTATTCAGACTAGGAGATATAAGAGCAAGATTAAGATTGGTATTAGACTAAGAAGTTGCACGAATCTATCCGGCCGAAAATGAGATAGCGTGACGAGCAGACGGTGTACCTGATCTGAAACTACTCTGTGAGAAAGTTAAAGCTGGCTTAAACTCATATTTGTCTTATTAATTGATATTACTGCTTCGCTAAAACTTCTTACTTTTTTTTATGAAACATGTCAATACTTCCTTCCTCTGATTTTGACTTCAAACGTCAATATTCAAAATTCTTTTTTGGAGAAATCGCCTCCCAATTGATGAAGCTGTCCTCATAACCTTTCCTACTTGCAAAGAAAACTTTCTGATTTTTTTTCTATTTGATTGAAAAAAGTTTGAGTAAATTTTTCTCGGAAATAAAATTTGAATAAATTTTGCTCAGAAAATTTGTCAGTCTAACTTTGTAAGCCAAAAACAAGGTGCAGTTTCATGATTTGGGGATCTGAAAATAGAATTCATCTAATTCATCAAAAATGATTTCAATTCTTTTGATAATGTTATTAAACAGTTATAAGTTGGATACTCTAACGAATGGATTACAAATTTGTACAAATCTTGGAATCAAAATAGGAATATATTCATTAAGTTCAGCTCGATTTTGAGTCTGATCTAATTGTTTATAAAACCTGCGATGACTTTCTGGTCCAATTGATGACTTCTGGTCTAATTGTTTATAAAACCTGCGATGACTTCTGGTCCAATTGATGACTTCTGGTCTAGTTGTTTATAAAACTTGTGAGCTTCTCTTAGCGCATCTGGTGTTTTTCGGTCAATGATGACCACGTGATCATGAGGGTGCTTTGAAACCGTAAGAGGTTTCGGATAATCCCATTGGGCAACTCCACTCGCTATATCTCTTATAACCAATGGACCTTCAGGTGCGCAAGTTTTACAATAGGCGGTACACTTTATATAGAGACATCGGCTTTCTCGTTTGCAAACTGCGCAGCTATTCAATAAGCCCTCAGAAAAAGCATTTAACATTCTAGCTTTTTAACAAACCGAAAAGTTTCTAGGTTCAAAATCCATAACGGCTCACAGAATTACAAGCAAAAATATTGATTCATTTTCTGGTAGTTCTCTACCAGAAAATGAATCAATATTTTTGCTCGTAATTCTGTGAGCCGTTAAAAAAATGTATGTTCGTTAGGCTGAATTCGATGCCGTAAAACAGTACCAAAAAAGATCAAAGATGTGTCTGTTTCGTTTGTAGGAAAGAAAAGTCATTATCATAAAAATGAAAAAACGCTTGTTTCAAAAAGAGCAAAATTACAGAAAAGTTGAGTTAAAAAATGAAGAGCTCATATAATAAACTGTTTTAGTGCCATATATTGTGTTGCTTAAAGTTATTAGATATTTTATTTACGAATTTAAAAAAAACTGTTTATGCTGCAATGCTCCTCGAATTTGTTTCCAACGCTTCGTTACAATAATTGAATCGGGTGAAGGACAACAAGAAGGATCTTATCTAGACAGTGAATTTAAAAAACAATGCTAGTACACTGCTTTTGCTACTACAATGCTAACTGCAGTGCTACTACACAGTGCTGTTTACTGCTTTTATTTAAAGGATTGGCAATTCAGGCAGTGAGCCTAAATAACTAACAAAAACGAAGGATTTTGGCGGGTAATTGATAAAAAAAAATGTGAAAACGAATAAACTTTTCACATTTTTTTACCTCAAATCGAGGAGAAAAAATAATACTGCTGTAAAAAGTAGTTGCTCAAAATTCGGCTAATAAAGTTCTTCCAATCGGTCGCCTTGCTTTTTTTTTATTTACTTTCTCTCATAGTAGCCTATTAAATTCATTGTCTGGATCAGACTCGTCTCCTTGTCCTTCACCCTTAGACGATGATTCAATATTCGTTAATATTTTTCTTCCAATTGGTTGGCTTGCTTTTTGTTTGCTTTACTGTTTTTCATAATTTAACCTTAATTTCTGTATGGATCAGATCCAACTCCTTATCGTTCAGTTTAGTTGTTTTTAAACAGTTTTAAACGGGACAGGGCAGTACAACAGTGCCAAAGTACAGCAGTGCCGAAAATGAAAGAAGTGTTCAACAGTGTCGAAAACTGATCATTTTCGGCTGTTGAACAATGAATCATATTCGGCACTGTTGTACTTTGGCACTGTTGTGATGACCTTAGAGGGGCGTTCAACAGTGACGAAGTTCAAGAGTGCCGAAAATAAAATTATTGATCAACAGTGACAAAAATCATCAAATTTCGGCACTATTGAACGCCCCCATTTAAATACCTTTCAAGTTTGTATTCATAGCCCACTTTTTTCTTTTTGTCTCTTTTGAGTTTTGTGTACTTTGAGCGGCACTACTATTATGAGCCTATGAAGGATCTAATTAACAATTACTAAATTGGCATCAAATCCCCCCTATGATATCTACATAAAAGTGCCACCCCTACAAATAAAAGCATTGAACTAGCACTAGAGCTTGCTATTTATGCATCAATTTTTTCTGCATTCTGATTGAACGAAAAATTGGTTGACTTAATTTAGCGGATCAACCGTAAAAACTCTCCCCCTCTAAGTGACCTACCTTAGAAGGCCCTGCCCAAGCATGTATTAATTTTGAAAATTAAGTCTCTATGAAAAGTGCATTTCATACAAACCCGCAAATAAAACTGCTTTTCACATTTTTTACGCGGGATTGCATTTGTATGCTCTTAAAAACCTAGACTAATGTCTTATAACAACTTTTTTTGTTTTATAACAACTAACAGGTCTTATGCACTAAAATCATTTTTTCTGCATCTCTTGAACTGAAACTAATGTGGTTCAATTTGACTGGCTAATTAGCCAATCAAGTTCCATCGACATTTTCTGCCATTTTAAATAAAATAATTCAGCCATTTCAAGCAGATAAAATTAGTAGCCGAAATTTTTGTTTTGTCAAGCCATTTGATTAAGTTTTTCTTGTCTGGGCAAGGTTTCACAGGTAATTCAAAATTAGTTTGATTATTTTACCTAGTTCCACTTTTTTCAGAAATTTCGGCTTATAATTTTATCCGCTGGAAAGGTTGATTGGAATGCCTGACCGTCTAACTTGAATTTGATTGGCAAAAATTACCCAATCAAATTCGATCGAATAATTTCCAGCTTACGAAGCAGAAAATTTGATTTTGGGCCGTTTTGGAACCAGATCTAAACTAGAGTTCGTTATTGGATATTAATCTGATATTTTATCTCTATAAAACATTAAATACTAACCAATCATACTCCATCAAACTAACAATTCTCTTATTTGTAAGTGTTGAAACTACTTGTAGTTTCAAAACCAGAACAATTTGAATTAAGCTTAGAATACAGTTGTTCTCATTCTGGAACTAACTCGCATAAACCTGTGTTCACTAGATCTTTTAAGACTAGGAGATTTAAGAGTAAGATTAAGATTGGTATTAGACTAAGAAGTTGCACGAATCTATCCGGCCGAAAATAAGATCGCGTGACAAGCAGATGGTGTACCTTATCTGAAATTACTCTATGAGTATAACCAACAAAATGATATAACTCATCTGGTGCGACCAGAAATCTCGAACATACCTTAATTAACCTAGATTTAGAAGAAAAAAAATAGATTAGAATTAGACAAATACAACATTTCAAAAAAGTTATAGGATAAAAACTTAGTAGATATTTCTCTACAACTCAATAGATCAGGTCCAATATGCCGAACAATACGAGAACTACCCGTTATTGGAAGAAGACATCGAACAAGAGACGACATACGACTAGGAAGAAATCTACCAGTCGATTCCATGATTGTACGACAAAAACGAGATCAAATTTTATATTTAGAATACTTCCAGCAGTAAATTAAAGTTTTCCTTTACTGGCATAAAAATTTGAAGAATCATCTTCAATAACCTTTCATGGCGCTAAACCTAATAATTATACAATAAAGACCGATAAAAACAACACACAGCAAGAACCAATCAAACAAAAATAATACAAGACAGATCTATGACCTTTAAAAGAAAAAGAAAGCCTAATTGATAACATAATTTTATCAGGCCCACCAAACAATGACTCGAAGTATACAATAAACCATGTTTTAACCTCCATGACACTCTAGACACAATACCTCTATCAAAAAGAGAAATTGAAAACATTTTTCTCCCAGTAAAAGAAAAAATAACACTCGAATTATTACAGAAACATCAAAACCTTGACCCAAACATTAGAAAATTAAAATTTTGGCCCAAAGTTAAAACCAAACCAATCAAAGCCAATATTACCATTCTAGGAAATAAAACTCTTATTAGATTTTTCTGAAAATTTAATAAAACCTCTATCAACAAAAATACAGATATTTTAGAATACCAAACATCTGATATCAAAGTACCCTGTCTACCTTTAAGTATGATGCTTATAGCTTTTCATACTCCCACTCATTAAACACTAAAGGACACTCAGGATCAGAAAAAAAACATACTCAAATTTCATACAAAAAAGGTTTACTTTCGAAATGAACCAACTTGGATAAACGTATTATGCAATGGTTGCATAACATGTCAATTAAACAAACCATACCCAAACTAAAAACGAATTGCAGAAAAACAAGATTTTGAAAGACAAAGTCTATACTTCAATCATAGAATTTCATTCGATACAAAAGGACCAATATCACCATCCACTGAAGGAAACTCATATATAATGGTCATAGTCGATGCATTCACACTCTTTGTAGCACTTAACCCAGTACCCCATTGTAATACTTATTACGCATATACAACACTTTATGAACACTGAATATCAAAAGTCGGATTACCCGAAATCCTTGTTACAGACAATGACACTGAATTTATAAATAACGAAACCATTTAACTATGCCTCTTATATAATATTAAACACAAACCACGTACATCTCATGCACCTTGGACAAATGGATTGGTCGAAGCCATGAACCGTTCATTGCAAGAATATCTCAGATGTATCATTAATGGAAATGACACACGATATACTGAATGATCAACAGATGTGAAACTATTCCCATTATCTTATATTTCACAAATCACAACAACTTTAGGACTATCACCCTATGAAATGGTGTTCAATCAAGAACTACGAAAACCGATAACTTTCTCAGCAACTTCTTCAAAAAATACACAAGGATATTGTCAACCCACGAAAGAATCAATATATTATAATCTACCACTACATACCCACGAATAAAATCACTTTCACCATTCACAAATTTTAAAATTAGCTTCCGGTACACACACCGAATGGTTTTTAAACAGAGACAAAAAATACAATGAAATTTATCAAGAAGTAACAAAAAAATTATTACAAAGACAGAATATTAGTTCCCAAATGAATTCTCGATTCATATCAGCTATAAACTTAAAAATTGGAACATACGGTTTAATTCCAAATCTTACAACAAAAAAGGAATTTCTAAAAAACTACAACCACTCCGAAAAGGACGATATCAAATAATTGATAAACCCACTGATGTAACATACAAACTTATAGACCTAAACAAAAAAGAAATTGTTCTACACCGAAACAATTTTTTACCTTATTATCCGAAAGAGTACGCTCTTCACGAAATGACTCAATTAATCTCCTTCACAGGACTCAAAGTTATTCAAAATAACTCCGATCGCGAACAAAATCAAAACTCTGATATGAATTCTATCCAAAAACCATTAGAAAAAAATAAAAAAGAACCTAACAAACAAACATCATAATACTTAGATAACAAAAAGATAACTCAAACAGGAAGAAAAAATTGAAAACTAGAAGAAAAAATTCTACCAATAAGAACCTTTTCCGAATCATCATCTCATTTTTGACACGACTTTTTTAGCCGACAAACAATTACAATTTAGCGAATTTCTAACCATAAC